AGTCTCGGGGAGGGTTGGCCTTCGGACCTTCGGATCCGGGACGACCACATGCAAACCTACATGCACGAGCAAATCCACGCAGCCGGGCAGCATTCCCATCCTTTGCAACAGAGTGCCAATTCCACTGCAAAGCAGAAGCAGCTGGTTTCATAGCATCCCATCTCCCTCCTGGATGGTACGATCCGTGATCTACTTCGATCACCTTCGTCGGTCAACGTCGGCACATGTGGTACTTACTGGCTCTGTCCTACTGTGCTAGACATCGCTCTCGCTGGAACAGCAAGGTCTGCGTGTGGCTGACCCAGCCCAAGAGTAAATGTCAAACAGCACACTCACACAATAAACCCACCAAGAGAATGCACGATATACGTATGTGTGTATATATATATGTACACATATACATACACATATGCATATACATATATGTATATATCCATATACATATCTATACATATACATATACATATAAATATACATATACATATACATGCATTATCTATATATATATATATATGTGTGTGTGTGTGTGCATGTATGTACATATGTGTGAGTGTGTGTATGTGCATGTGTATTTGCATGTGCACGTGTATGTGTATGTGTATGTGTCTGTGTATGTGTATGCGTATGTCTGTATACCTGTGTGTATGTATGTATGCATGCATGCATGCATGCATGCATGCATGCATGCATGCATGCATGGATGCATGGATGCATGGATGCATGGATGGATGGATGTATGTATGTATGTATGTGTATATATATATACATATGTGCACACACGTGCATACATGCCTGCCTGCCTGCCTGCCTACCTGCCTACATACATGCATATGTAAGTATGCAGACGCACAATGCACGAGCTGACGTTGGCGATAAGGCTTGACTCTGGAACGGGTGTGGCTGCATATTCCGGTGTTGCTGCAGCCCTTCTAACACAACGAGGCCTTCAGCAAGAGCGGTGGTTTGGCTGCACGCTCTGAATGGTCATTGTCCGTTTTGCAAGTCTCCGGAGATACCCACTGACCGGCAGAATTCCAAGTACCAGCTCCCGTCACACCCCAAAACAGGGCTTCCAGCGATGTCCACCGCCTTGCCGCTCTTGGTACAAACCTGCGCAGAAGCCCAAGGCTAGGGCATGGAACCCTAACCGTAGAAGAAACCATGATACGTTTCTTCTGATGGTCCTGCCATCACTGTACTATGCTAGACCCCAAAGCCCTAGCGGAACCCTCGCCTGGTGGTAGCGGATGATGCGCGGCTCGTCCGGATCCCCAGGGCCGCTGCCCCCCAGGTTGTTGTACAGGAGCTGGGCCAGGGACCAATGGTAGAAACATGTACGAACATATTCCGGATGGCGATACAAAGGGGAGCAGTGATGGCAACCAGCAGGAATGCAAGAATGGTGTAAGTGTCACAACCGTGGTGATGCAGAATGGTAACCATGATGACGGAGACGATGATGATGATGATGATGGTGACGAAGATGATGATGGGGGTGGTGATGATGATGATGATGATGGGGGTGGTGATGATGATGGTGATGATGATGATGATGACGATGATGACGATGACGATGATGATGATGGTGACGATGATGAGGATGATGATGATGACGATGAGGACCATGGCCAGGATCATGACCATGACAATGACAACGGTGATGATAACAATAATGAGGATGAGGATTTGGATGATGGTGATGATTCAGCCATTTTGCTCAAGGCATGCGGTTGGTGACGAGTCGGCGGTTTGGCTTTTGATCGGTATTTTGGTGCTCAGTTGATTCAAGGTTCCCACTGGCATCAACACTCCATGCAGATTTGCAAATCCTAGCTGATCCAAGCCACGTTGTGCTGGGAGAAGGAGAAGCGCTCCCCCATGGCGGCAGTCGGAATTCCGGAGGCCTGCCACAGTTTAGGCAAACGTCGGCTGGGGATCTAATCTGCGTGCTCCAACTATCGCAAGACCGATGTAATGCACAAAGCAGGAAGCACCCGTACCAGGCTCCAACAAGACAAGTGTCTCATGAATTTGCAGCTCTGCCATGACCGAGCGCCTCAAGCTAGACCAATCCTGATGTCCTGATACCTGTCCAGATGTCCTGACATCTTCAACCTGAAGCCCCACAACCAAACGGCCTAACACAACACATACCCTGTCGCCGTGAACAACTTTGCCCTTGATGCTTGCCTCATCCCATGAAACCCTGTACTTCCTACGCCCGGGTTCGACATGCCTGGCTGGGCATGGACAGCGAGGGCAGCTTGCTGAGACCGGCTCGAAGGTGCCCGCCGGAGCCTTCCGGGCGATCGCTGCAGTGGAAAGCGGAGGGGACGGCGAGTGGGGTTCGACATGAAAATGGTGCAGATGTAGCGGCAGCGTTTGGAGTGCTCTGGTGAGGGGTCTCGGCTTCGTGCAAAACACCAAGCTCAATGTTTGATGTATTCCCATCCCTTGAAGATAACTTCTTGTCCTTCAATTTTCAACTTGCTCTCCGCAGCTGCAAACAACTTCACCCAAGGGCATACGATGGTCCGGCTGATTGCAGGTATTGCTTACCTGCTGCCTGCATGAGAACTACCTGTTCCATAAACTGTTACACATCCACAGGCCGATCAAGCAGTAGCTTGTCGCTAGTCGGCTTTCAATCTGAAGGGGTGGTCATCCAACGTTGCCAAGCTTTCGATTTGGGGCGGCTTGCACCTTGCCGGTCAAGCTCGGGTCCGGATTCTGCACTTTTTTCGCGCAGCTACCGCCATGTCAGGGAGCCTCGGTTTGCAGGACACGGCCCTCCACGTGCTGAACCGATGTTTGCAAGACCTCTACCATGGCACTTTGGCCAAGGAGGGCATCGTCTCTTGGCACCAGGACCTTTGCAAAGTTTTTCGTGCGGCCAACCGTCTGATTGCGCGGGCCGTCGGTACCAGCGAACCACACGCGCTGCGTGGTCCCCTGCAGCCCGGCATTGCGGTCGTTCAGAGCATCCAGGGCGCAGAGCTCTTGGTAGCGCCTCTTCGTCACAGTGTGGGGAAGCTGTTGCAGCTTTGCAGCCGGAGTCCCTGCCCGGGCGAAGTAGCGGGAGGAGTAAACTCCGTGAAAACGGCAGTCCCGTACTAACTCCAAGGTGTCCTTCCAGTCCTCTTCTGTCTCTGTGGGAAAGCCACAGATGATGTCGGTGAGCAGATAAATATCAGGGATCTCCTCCCGCAGGCGACCCACGAGATGGAGGAAGTCCTTGACGGTGTACTTTCGCTTCATGGCCTTGAGCACAGCATCCGAACCAGATTGAACTGGGATGTGCATGAAGCTATAGACATTCGGCCGCTTTAGCGCCTCTATGACCCCATCCAAATGCTCCATGATGTAGGGAGGGTTCGTCATGCCTGTCCGCAGCATCACACCAGCCGGCAAGGCATCCGAAAGGCGCAGGAGCAGCTCGGCGATGTTGCTGCCGATGTCCACCCCATAGGCGCCCATGTCCTCCGAGGCCAGCTCGATGTGGCAGATCCCCTCGCTGGTGGCCTGGAGAGCCCGGTCCACAATCTCCTCCACGGAGTAGGACACCACGGTTCCGCGAGCCATGCGAGTCTTGCCTTTGGGGGGAGTGGGGGGAAAAGAGCGCACACACATCGCACATGTACACGTTATAGTTACCCGTATAGCTTTAGCTCTATGTGTATAGGTATATGCAAGCATACATACATGCTTACATACATACTTACATACATACATACATACATACGTACATACATACATACATACATACATACATGTATACACACATACACACACATACATGCGTCCGTCCGTCCATCGATCCATACACACATACACCAATACAATAACACAATAATACAATGGGACAAGGATACAACAAAACAATAATACAATAATGCAATAATACATACAATAATACACACAATCATACACAACATAATAATTACATACAATATTGCATACAATAATACATACAGTACAATAATGCATGCAATACAATACTACATAGGATACAATACAAAATACAAAATATAATACAAGACAATACAGCGATTGGGAGCAAATTCACACCTAATTGAAGCAGGCCCTGTTTACATCTTTGGACTCTGCTGAGATCCATGTCCGGGCCGCAGTAAGTGCAGAAGTTCAGGCACCCAGCATTGATGGTGATGATCTCGGTCAGCCTATCCTGTCGCACTTTCGGGAGCGCCAGGGACGGCAGGCCCTCCTTCTTCTTGTCCTCGTGGTGCTGCACATTGGGGCCGGAGGAGAAAAGCCAGAAGGACTGCAGCCCCATGACATACCGACTAGGCCTTTCGGCTCTCACCCAAACCCAACACTGACATGCCAAGCCAGGCAGCTAGCAGGGTCACCACTCGTCCCTTGCTTGTCTCTTCAACCACGTCCACGATACGATCCAGCTGCGTCACGTGCAGCATGCTGACCTGCTGTTACGACAGAAAAGCCCTGCTATCACAAATCTTGCAGAATTCGTGAAAGCCCTTGATACACCGATCCGAAGCAAGAGAACGGCCGAAGGCTTTCAGACTGCTCAAAGATAGAACCGGGCGGCATGCGGGAGCTTCTTTGGCAGCCGCTTGTCACCAGACGGAACGCAGCCAGCGAGCACGACCTGCTTCTGCAACTCCGTGGCCTTGCAGAGATCTACAGTCGTCTGTCCATGCCTATGCAGTAATGTAATTTTTCGCGACTTTATTCCCTCATAACCCTCTGGTCTTCCTTGGGACGCAGCCTGTGCTACCTAGGCTTGCGACAAGGAGACACTTGCACGTCCACTGCTCGAGAGCCTCATCCTGCTGCTCAAGCCTTAAACTCCAGTTACCATCACGACCGCTGCTAGCCCGAGATCGAAACCACGACAGCTGGTTGGGGAAAATTTGCAGTTTGGTCTGCAGACTTCATGACAGGACTGCCAACTCTCTACAGCCTGACCTCGAGCTGACCCTAAATCAAGGCCCCGAAGAGGACTCTCTGCATGATCATAAGCGATAGTGCCGTCATACGCATGCGGACAGCTAGACAGACAGACAAACAGAGAGCCAAACAGACAGAGAGACATAGCATGCATGTCAAGGTGTGTGTGGCTCAGTACTTTGGCCTGGTTGACCAGGTGCAGGCCCCGGGACTCAGAGGGAGTCTTCACAGTGCAGGAGTTGACGACGCAGATGTCTGACTCCTCGCGGAGTAAGCTCTAGGTGCTGTGTTTCGGTTTCTGGTTTGGAGGAGTTTAGGGCTTCAGCGTTCGAGGTCGAGGGTTCAAGAGATCTTGGCTTGGGGCGCTTGCGGCTTCAGGCCGCGTTGGGCCTGAATCCTGAAACCGATGGGGAGACTTCTGAGCGGCCATCATGTTGGATCCTTCCTAGGATTTGCATCAAGAAGTCCTCGAGCTTGTCCACCAGAGTATAGCCGTAGTCGTGCAGCTGCCCCAGCATGTACTCCCCATCTGATTGGTTGTGCTGGCACCCAAACCTCAGTGTCCACAAGGCTCAACCCTTCAACTGCCGATGAATACGTTGGGTTCGGGTGTGACACTCGGGATGAGAACTGCTGTTCCAGGCAGGCAAGAAAGTCGTACACGTGCCGGTGCTTCAAGTCTGAAAACTGCTAAGTAGGAACACAGCCCTGAAACAACGACAAAACTTTGCCCTCGTGTCGTGATGCCCGAGAAACATGGGTTTCGGTCGACTCACCAAACGCATGCCAACCAACTCCTTGCAAATCCTTCTTATTGCGTCCCGAAACTCCGGAATGCCTGAACCAAGGGAAGACACACGCCTCAACTTGTTTTCCTCAAGGCTACGTCTTGAGGTAGACCTTGGCCCTGCCCGGCCGGTTGTTGGACTCCTTGCCCAGGGGCCCCCGCACCTGGGTCCGTCGGCCGTGAGAGTTTTGGGTTTGGGGCTCAGATGCTTCGCAACAAAACGAGGTGTGGAGAGAAACCGATATAAGCGAAAACATGCACCGAGAAGTTGCTGCACGACTACCATGCCCTGCTATCGTGTGCGACAGAACGCCGTAGCATGTTAGCGCTTATCGTTGCACCTTAAGTTCTAAGAAGAACTGTAGAATACCAACACAAGATGTGCTAGATGTTTTGAGTGTATGTATGCACGCAGACAGGCATGTGTGTACGTATGCCCATTGTATACGAAGCAACAAACATTCTACATTAGGCATGCCACAGTGAAGTACTCTGGCCAGCTGGCCTTAAAGGAAGCTGAGCGCATGTCCAGTGGCGGGCATGTCTGGCAGCTGCACGGCCTCATCCCAGGCCTGATCTGTCTGCAGCTGCCGGTCGTATTTCTCCTGGGACGCCTGCTGCCACGATGTTCGAGTCGAAACCAGCGCTCGAGAAAGCTAGGGAGAGAGAGAGAGAGAGACAGAGAGGACACAAAAGCAGGAAGGAAGGAAGAAAAGAGGGAAGAGAGACCAGTGAGAACGAAAGAGCGACGGAGGCAACTGAGCAGCATATGTTAACATGCTACAATAAGTGCATAGTAAGAAGACATAAGAAGATGATTCTGCTGATAAGGAGACGAACAGTTCTAGGGCTTGGCCTGTCGTGATTGTTTACGGTTTGCAGCAACTCCACGCTGGCCCACGTCCTAACCTAGCCTGCTCTCGGGCCCAGAAACACCTGAAACCGTGGGCTCGAGTCCTACCGCACTTCCATGTTCATACAACATAGCATGCATACATTGCTGGGCTAAACCATCACTTCGAAGATGGTTCCATGATGCCACGTTCCAGGCACATGAAGCACTCCTTTCTGACAACTGATCGCACTGTCAACATGACGGATCGATCTGGACGTGGTGCATTCAACTGGTGTGCACCACCCCCAAACCTGAACCCTGCACAGACCCCCACACATCCTAAACTACGATTCCAGATGCCCTCCCGTTAGTCGGGCACCTGGGAGCTGAGCACGGCATAGGCTTCCTCGAGCCGGGGAAGCAGCTCGGAGGCCTTCGTCTCCTGGAGAGCACCCAGAAAAATGATGTCAAGTCACGGCAGGTAGGAATAACCGTCGTTCGAATGCTAGACAACCGAAAGTCTAAATCGCCCCAAACGGACCTAAACCAACTCCAAGGGCACAGGGGTGATCTGGGAGGTTCAGAAGATAGGGGACATCATTGCGCAACCCTAACCACTAGAACAGTTGCCATAAAAACCTAAGCCCCTGCTAACGACCTCTAGTCCTAAAGAACCCCATCTCCTGGGCCAAGGAGACCGCGCGGCTGTAAGCCGCCTGGATCTCCTGAATGTAGGGGGCCCCTTTAAGGGGTCCTTTAAGGGCTCCTTTAACATGGGTTCCTTTGAGGGATCCTTTAAGGGTTC